AATAATTAACAATTAGACAACGAGGCCGAGTTGTCTATGAGCGAATAGTCAACGAGGCGAAGCCGAGTTGACTATTTGCTCATAGACAACGAGGCTGAGTTGTCTAATTGTTTTAGTATAAACTTTAACATTAATTTACAACTATGCTTTCAACACAATACAAAAATACACAAAAAACATTATAAAACCATTAAAGGTAAACAAATATTTTAGTTTTTGTTCGCGTAAAATGTTTTACAAAATTCAATTTTAATTTTAAAATTTCTTTGAGTGTATGTTATTTTGTCTATTTTCTTACCCTTAAAAATTGCCATTCCATATTTTTGTTGCTTTTTCGGGGTTTTTTAGTACAGAATTGTTCAACAAGTCGTCCAAAAAAATCATCAGACACTTCGGCAAAAGTGCACAACGCGAATTTTCCGCCATTTTGAATTTTCTATTAGTAGGCTATCACTAATAGCCTACTAGTAGCGTAGCCAATCAGAAGCCACGATATGTGATAGCCTACTAGTAGGTACTAGTAGGCTATCACATATCGTGGCTTCTGATTGGCTACGCTACTAGTAGGCTATTTAATGACTAATAACCATAGCCTATCGAAAGGAAGATAGCTGTGAAACTCATTAGAATAACAATATAACTCATTATCTATGTTGGTCAACGTTTATTCATAAATCTGGTCCTTCGCCGTCACGTGTGTATTGTATTCTTGCCCAACAAACCAATAGCAATGTTTTAGGAAAGTTACCTATCCGTGACTCGAACAATAGGGAAACTGGAAATTGATATTGGTGGATTTGGTAAAAATACAATACACATGTGACGGTGAAACGACCAGATTTATGAATAAACGTTGACTAACATAGATAATGATTTATATTGTTATTCTAATGAGTTTCACAGCCATCTTCCCTTCGACAGGCTATGGCCTGACATACGACGTGTTATATAAAAGCGCGTTTGTCTGTTTTAGAATTTAATATGCAAATTAACTGATATTAATTATCTGTTTCTCTTTATAAATCAACGCATGTATGCTTGTTTGTTCAGTATTCACTGTTCTTATGTATATTGTGGATACGAAAAGCGGTCTATATCAGAAGTAGTTAAAGGCTTTAATTGCTGCCGAAGGCAGCACACTATTCTTGACATGAAGTATTGCGTGCCTGCGTTTAATTGTGTCCAGTCTCTTTGGCCGAGTTATGTATAGTCGATAGAGATTTCGATTTGTGTCCTCAGTGTCTATCTGCATGTATGTATGTATGTAAATATGTCGTAATTCTGGGGAAATAATTAAGGCTTCAGGACGTTTTATAAACGAGGGGGGGCGGTCAAAATTTATTTTGTATTGTACTCGCATGATACATATAACACATGTGTTGGATTTTCACAAATGGACAATATTTTATATAATTTAGGTAATTAAGGATAACTTTATTTTTTTCTGGTGATATAACATGAAGGCAAATATATTTAGATCAGCTGTTAAATTGTTCAATATGAGGTATTTGAAACAGTAATCATTATGGTAATTTCGCCAATTTATCGGCAGATCGTCTTAATATTACAGAGTTTAAGTTCGACTTCCGATACCAATACCGATATCGATGTCTGCACTTCCGTTCTCATTTTGGTCCCGGGAATTTTAAAGCGTTAAGTTATCACGACAGATAAAATATAGAATACATTAATCGTCACCTGAAAATGTGCGGCATACTAAACGGCAGCTAAGCTAAAATTCCGACTAAAACATGACTCAGGCGATACTAACAAACAAATAGTTCACCTGTTTATCGAAAAAATTATGAAATATTCGATTTATATGAGTTTATCTTACAATTCCCACGACTTCCAAATACAAGGCCCGACTTCGGTAGTGGTGACTTCCAATACACTTGTCCTCGTGCTTCTTGCGAGAAGAGCGCATGCGCATGACTGTTGTTAGTATTGGTATTGGTAACGGAAGTCGAACTTAAACTCTCTAATTGATATACTGCACAAGGAGTCAAAATGTACTTTTGGTTTTAATATTTGTTTGTGTCAATTGTGTGGCCATGTGCCAATTAAGGCGATGAGTTTATAGTGTTCATTCTACGGGGTGTATAAAAAAAACTGAGCAAAAACTCTCAATTTCGCAAAACAGCTGTTGGTATCCAGTTTTTGATATATATAGTTTCTTTGGGTACTTATAATAAAAAAATTTTCTTGAACTCAAATTTTGTGAACCAGGGGGTGTGTCTTTTGCAAAATTAAAAATGGCTTGCGCACGAAATTTAAAAGCTTTGATCATATTTTGAGTTAATAGATGGAACATTTGTTGGGTTTTTAATTACTGTACAAGATTTCAGGTAATTTGCTTTAGTTTAAGTCTTTTAACTATCCATTTTTCTCTAATAAATTAGCCTGTCGCATGCTTAATTAATGCCTTTACCTAATTTGCATATAGCTGACATATGCAAATTAGGCAAAGGCATTAATTAGCATGCAAATATAATAGCTGATTTTTAACTGAAAGATGTAAGTTTGCGTGAATAGTTAAAGGGCTTAAAGTTAAGTAAATTGTCTGATATTTTGTACAGTAATTAAACACCCAACAAATTTTCCATCTATTAATTTAAAATATGATAAATGATTTTAAATTTCGTGCGCAAGCCATTTTTAGTTTGTTGGAAAAGACACTACGCCTGGTTCACAAAATTTGACTTAAAGAAATTTTTTTCATTTTTCTACATTATAAGTACCCAAAGAAGCTATGTACATCAAAAACAGGATACTAGTAGCTGTTTTGCGAAATTAAGAGCAATTTCAAATCTGTTCAGTTTGTTTTTATAAACCCTGTAGATGTTCATAGGCATAGCAATGTGCTTTCAGCACGTTTTAAAAACAAACGCGGAATATTGTGCATGCTTTATAATGGTCCTATAGCAACGTTATAGCCCTATAGCAACCCATGCAGTTTAACCCAGTGTGGATTGTTGTCTGCACATATTAACTATGGCTTACCAGCAGTTACATGTATAACATGTCAACCGTCTTTTGTACAAGGTATGATTGTCTGTAAAAATATATCTCTGAGATATGTCCCTTGTTAGCACAATATGAAATAATCCTATCGGCCTACATTCATATATTCACGAATAATTTATCTGGCTGTGTGCTTGAATGCATGTGTCACTGCATTTCAGGGTATACTATATTTTTCGATAGTGCTCACAATTTCTTTCTTATACTGTTATGTAGTTTTGCAGTTATGACTGAGTGCAATCTTAATCATTACAAATGAACGGTATCATCTGACGCACACGTATTAAACAAAAATGTCAACAAATAGATTTTGTCTCCCCCACCCCCTTCATTTTGTTCTGTGAACATAGCCTTCAAGGTGCCATGTGAAATTGTTATTAAAGAATATTTAACTGACTTTCGACAATGTGGAAGGTGTTTTGGTATTTAAAATGCACCTTTCCTACATTCTGAACATGCCGGCATCGTAGGGGCTGTTTACATGATGGAGAGTGGGATGATTTTGATGCATTTCCATCACCAGGTTAAATGAAAGTTCGAATGCTGATTAACAGTACTCAAATGTTGTAAGTTGTAGACCATGACTTATTGATTCAGAAATTAATACATCGAATTCGCCCCGCCTCATATCTCGTTCTCGCAAAGCGAGATCATATAAGCAGCCACTTATTCAGCGAATTGTGCATGCAATGGGGATGAGGCAGCATTTTCCTTGCGATAGTAACTTCTAGTAATTTTATTGTTCTGCTGGTAAAATGATATATAAATATAATTTCGCTTGTGGCTTCCGCCATCTTGGAAAATTAGTCCGCATGCCTCTCCGTTTGTTTCCCACCAATTTTATATTTTTTGAAATGCCTGCGGAGGAGGTAGATGCATGGCAGTAATAAGACATAACTCATAAGTTATTATGTTGATATTTTGTTTATAGATTGATTATTGTTTTAATTTGTAAGGCTGCATGTAACTGTAAGTTTGTTAGTTTGTTATTCTGGTTCTGGTTGCAATAAGTAAAAAGTTGTTTGTTTACCTCGTCAACTTGATCTTTAAGATTTGGCGAGTCAGTTCTTGTTATCAACTCTGAAATCACAACTTTAGTCCGCTGTGGACTTTCCTTCTTTATGACATTACATACCTTTAAGACGCCCTTTGCCATGCACTTCATTTGGATTTTTCTCTTTGAGATCGTTTGTCCCAACGTGTAGAATGATTTCGTCAGGTTTTCTTTGGATTCGTGGCTTAATATGGTTTTCAATTGCATCCGTTGTGGCTCCTCGATACGTCTCGACATGCACTCGCTTGTTTCCGTTTTGAACGGAACACCTTAGTCTACAGTATGACAATCCAAATGTTAGTAGTAATATATAATATTTTTTTTAAAAAAAAGGGGGTGTGTGAACCAACTTAATTTAACTGGAGCTTTGAATGGAAAGTGAAAGTATCGCGGGCGCAAAAGGTCGAGACCGCTGGCTGTACGGACGGGGGAAAAATTTGAAAGGGGCGTTCCTATTTTTCGATCTTGCTCGCGTGTGGTTGATTGACAGGTGGGTGTGTGTGTCGTGTGATTGACAGGCGTCCGGGTGTGCCGGTTGCGTGCGCGCATGCGTGGTGGAGCTCCTAACCCAAAGCCTTGGTCGACCGAAGTGAGTTGCGTTCGAATTTGCCGCCGTTTTTGTAAGTGCGTGACGTCGTTTGTGTGCTACCACTTGGGTAATCGATGATTTTCAATGTTTCCATGTGAAAATATTGATTTTTCCCAAGCTGTTTAACATTTATTAACAAATATCGTATTTTTAGTTAAAAAATATCAATATTTATTAGTGTTTAATAGCATTTTTTAGTTTTGTAAAAAATGTCAGTAATGTTTTTCAACGTACACATTGTGAGTTATTAGCGTTTAATACAAAATCAATTTTTTATTAATAATATTTACAGAAAAAGATGTATAACTATGTATATAAATGTTGTTTAGTTAGTTAGTTAGAAGAGTCACTATTATTTTGTTTTTTAAGGAGTGTATGTAGTACATATTCTGCGGCGTTCACATTCTCTAGAAGTTCGCGTTTCTCTTGAATGATTTTCAAGGCTTCTTCACGAACATTCGCAAACAGTTCGAAGGTCTGGAATTCGCGACCTGTGTTCACGATAATATCGTTTGTTATTTTTGTCAAAATTTTTTTTGATTTTTTACATTTTCCTCGACTGTCGGGTAGGGTTAGTTGCCGTCTTGTTAGCTGTAGTGATTGCATATCGTTGTAGTCTTCGTCCATTCGAATTAGTTGTTCGTCGTTTGTTGGTCGCCCGCTGTCTCGCTTTCGTTTTCGACTCACAGGTTTTTTTGCCGGGGTTTTCTTGGACATATTATTGCTAGTTTCCCCTTCTTCCTCGGCCCTTTCGTTTTCTTCAAAATGTTTTTTAGCCGCCACAATATCTTTTCCGCGATGTGTGATACTAATGGGTTCTGTGTATATCATAGGGGTTTCGTTGTCGGGTATATAATCGTCTATGTTAAAATTAAGGGCGGGTAGTGTTGCGTCGTCAACGGGTTTGTTTGTTTCATTGCTTTCGATGGTTGTCAGGGGTTCAGGAGATTTCGTAAGACTAAACGAGCTAAAGGTTCCTTCGACGTTGCTGACATATTTCTTTAGTCTTTCGAGTTTTGTGGGTAGTGAGTGGTAGTCTGTCTTTTTTGTTAGAATTTTATCCTCTGCGGGTCTCGAGGGAGATACGACGAGAATTTGTTGTGGTGAGACCGCATATTGTACCGTATTTTCTGAGCGTGGTGACATCTGATATTGTGGTTGTTGCGGTGAGGGTTGGGATTGTGGCGTTGTATTGGTTTGTTGGGGTTTTGGCATCGCTTTGCTCAATCGCCATTTTATGAAATTTAGTTCGTAGATATTATCGGGATAGGCTGAAGCAAACGCTGTAAAACTCCAATAGTCGGCCAATATCGGTGTTAAATCTGTATTCTCCGTCACGGTAATGCCCGACAGTTCCACAAATTTGGTAAAAGCTGAATCCATTTTTTTCAGTGTTCGAGTTATACTCTTTCGTGTACGAGTAGTTGTAGTGAAATGTGATAAAAGTTCACAAGCCGAGGTTTCATGTTCGAATACGCATGTATTGTTTTTGTAATCTTGTGACCATATTAGGGCAATAGAGTTTGTAAACATCAAAAGATGTTTATATGTGTTTATTAGCACTAGGCAACAGGCAATGTGTAAGAAAAGATGTACGTCTATATATGGGTGTATGAATATATCTATTTTACTTATGATAAATGTGTAGAAAAGGTTTTTTGATGTATATATACGGTGTGACCATATATGCACACGTTAGTTATAGCACGATGAAGGTTCTTATAAGAGTAGTTTTAAGGGGTTTACAGCAGATATTTGCTAGTGAAATGAGTTTTGTTTGTAAGCTTTCATTATCGCTGCTGATATTAGTTTTTTTATTTTATTTTTTAACTGTATTATTTTATACTGATGTTTCTATAAAAGATATAGAAGAGGTATTCACTCAAAGCAAGTATAGTTGTGCAGATGAATATGTCGAGGTATGATCATTTCTGTCATACAATATTTAATCATTTAATATATCATTCGGTACCCGATGAATGGAGAGTAGATCCCCTAACAACGACTGTGGATATTTATCATAGAGATTTTGTTTTTCGTAATGCCCGTGCGTATGTCGATTGTACCAATGATCGTAAACAATGTTATATGACAGATTTATGTTTCAACGAACCCTTGATTTCTGAATTGGAAACAAAATATAATTCTAAAGAGAGGGATGGTCATTTTGATATATGTTTTTATTTTCCGGGTTTTTACGGTAATTTATGTGGTATTTTTCATGAAGAATGCTATCTAGCTGTGAGACAATTTTATAAGGACAACGTTAATGCTGAAGACTGCGGCTGTGTTTGTTTGGAACATATAGGTAGACAAATTTTTATACGGTGTCCCGGAGCGATAGTAAGTCAGTGTTTAATTAAAATACAAGTGGAATATTATAAGCGGGGTTGGATGTCGCACCAACATCTTCTTTTCAAATTGGATCACAGGGGTAAAGCTGTTTTACAAAAAGAAAATTCTCTTTTTTTTAAAATAGTATTTCGGATGAAACGGACTATGTTGTTCAAGAACCATGTGAAACAATTTGTGAAGATGAACCCCTGATCGTATTAAAGACTATACAAGACGATTATAAGTTTTATGAACTTTATTTACGTGTGGCAAGAGAAAAACACTTACAGCTGGCAGGGGGTCGTCTGTACCCGAGTGTAATACAGAAGGGTGTCGTGAAAACATTGCCCAGTTTCTATATTTATCTTATAGCTGTGACGGGATATGATAATGGTGATCGGTATATAACTATTGGTGTTCTACATTGGTTGTTGGGGATTTATGCCGAATTGGAGATTGATTACCGTATTTATCCTGACGCGTTTAAAACACATCCCGGATATCAAGTTACTCCTGTATATCTACCTTGTGTGACGTTTGAAAGTGTTGGTTATCATCTCGATTATACAGCAGCAGAAGATCAACTAACATTTTCAGAAGCAAAAGAGTTTGTTTCCGGTGTGGTTGATACTTTAATTACATATATATCGGAAAATCATAACACAGGGTATCGGGAAGCAGCCGCGGATTTTGAAAAAAATCATGGGATATGTATTTCGAAACGTTTGATGCAGATTATGCTATATCATCACAAATTAGTGTATCACGTGCAGAGTTGGGTAATTGAAAATTGTGGTTGTTCACGAAACGATCAAATTTGTTTTTGCGGTTTGTTCACACAACGGGATATAATTAAATGTAAGAAATTATATTTTAAAGACGCAGGACTATTGGTTAGTGATGAGGTGTTCTTTACCACCGCGAGATAAATATGGTTGGCGATTATTTCATTATTTGGAAGCGTGTGATTTTAGGAGACATGGTGCTACGCAGTCTGTGTCGTTATACGCCTACGAACACCTATATTGTAATGTTTTGTATTGGTTATACATAACAGAAATCCATAAAACAAACCATGGTTACATTTATCGAATGACATTCCAAACATTAGACGGATTTGCACATTTGCATATGTCATACGAGTTAAAACATTTACCAAATATTGAAACGGGTAGTGGTAAGATAATGTTTAATACGATGGGTATTCAAAGTTTGGGTATTCAACAATGTATCGAATCGAGAATTGCTGACAATTTATTAAATGATAGACATAAAACGATTGTAGAAAACATTGTACGCTTTATTAAAGAACATATTTTACGTACAAATAATGTTGTACAATATGAGGAACATATTTTTAAAATGAGGGTAACGCTAGCTAAAGTATATCATACTGTAGTGGCTCCAGGGTTTTTACGGGGTATGCACGATGTAGTAAGAAAAATGTTATACAATATGTATTGGTTAGATACTCGTACGTGTTTGTGTTCTATTTTACAAAATGGTTGTATATGTAAAAGAACAAATTTACATTTTGTAAGCTTATATTGTCAACATATGTGGTTAGATTTTTAAAAATAAAAAGGGAAAAATAGCAAGTGTGTGTTAGTTTGTCTATTCATGTTGGGGAATGGAGGGGTTATTTAAGAGAAGACATAATCAGTTGTCGTATGAGGAAGAGGTTCTGATTGAAAAACGTAAAAAAGAAATAGCATCTCGTATTACACATGTGATTGATTGTGAAGCATATATGAATAAGAAGAAAACATATCTTCGTGAAATCTCGGTTTACCGCTTAAAAACACACGAGTGTGCCTCATTTCAGGTGTTCATACCGTTTGTACCTTTTAACGAATACGATTATACGATCGAGTATCAAATAAAGAAAATTCATGGTTTACCCCTTGTAAACAGACGTTTAACGGATGATTTTTATACATTAAAAGAATCGATTTCGTTTTTAACAGATGAATTTATGTGTAATGCCGATTTAGTGGCATATAAAGGCGGGGATATTGAACGAACAATGCTAAATAATCTCGGCATACGCTGTATTAATCTGGAAATATTGTCTTGTCCGAAATATTCTGAACTGTTGACCATATTTGGTCAAACACAGGAGTGTTGCCCGTATCATCTTGCCAATCATTATCATTGTTCAAAACATGAAGTGAAAATGTTTGCAAATTTTGTGTATTCACTTTTATAAACATGGCGTGGTTAGAACCATTGTCGTATCTTTTACAAGCGCAGCCATTCAACCCTATCTTGTGGAATTTGTATTCAACATGTAGATATTTAAGGCGTTATAAACCAACCATCGATGTTAAAGAAAACATTGTACTAGACTATGTAAAAGCTGAGGATTTTTGGATGAAGGGCAGTTTTGACACGATAAAGGATTTTATCGCTATCGATGATGAAACTGATGCGGAAAAGGAAATCATAAGTGATAACGCAGCAGAAAAAACTAAGAAACCAAAAGAGAGATTGAGATGGCCGAATCATCCGCGTATGGCCGTTGTAGGTGTTGATGTTGGAGGTGCGGGTGTGAAACAACTGTATCGCATACCCGTTGAATGGATTCCACGGCTTTGTGTGCGTAACGGTATGATCGTGTTACAACCCTTTAAGTTTTGTTGTCGTGAAGTTTTGCAACGATCCGTAACAAAATTGATACGTTGCCAATCGTTGACAATCCCTAGCGGGTTTTTTTTCGACAAACATTTTTTTCATGTGGGTTGTGGTTCTTGTGATGAAGATAACGCAGAGGTGCAAGTGTTCGCAGCTATGCATTTGTACGTCGGTTTAAAAAGTATCTTGCAACATCTGAGTACGGGTTTATACGTCAATACGCAGGAAAAGTTGTTGGCCGTCGATTGCAACGAGGAATCTCTTAATTATTATTTAAAATCGTGGGATGAAGAAAATATAATATATACTCAAGTAAAAAAGAAAGGTACATTTATACGTAAATATCTTGCACATATTGTTGTGTGTAAAAAATGTATTAGATATCTTGCTGATTTTTTAAGTTTATTAGATCAGAGTGTAGAAGAGCATCCCTTTCCACGGTATAATGAATTAGATTGTGACGGCTATAATTTTCTGGGAATACCCATTCGCAACTATATATTAGATGCAGATTTTGATATGTTATTAGCTAAGGCGTATTATGGTGTTATAGATGGGGTTGAGATAGCCGGTTGTGATTATGTGGACGCTTTTATGAACACGTATGTGATAAAACATGGTTAATTTTAAACAACTATTTTATCAGTTGCTACAATTAAAAAGTATGTACGTTTTAAAATATAAGGGTGTTGTAATAGGGTATGCCCTTATATGGTCATCATATAATCTGCTTCAAGCTGCACATTTGTTTAATGTGTGTCGTTTAAAAGAGCGGGATTGCCGGAATTTTATTCAGTTTATAAAGTTTAAGAAGATAATTATACAAAAAAACGAAGATATTGTTTTAGCAATTGCGACATAATGGCAACATCCACGAAAACACATTATTTTGAAACGAATGCTGCTGAGATTAGAGTTGTTGAATTGTTAAAAAAAATGATAGAGAATGGAAAATTAACTTATTATCGTTATACAAGCATAACATCTACACCGTTTTATGATCAGCGGCGGGAGAGTGGTGAGAAAAAAACAATCGTAAGACGGGGTTTGAAATTGTGCGGTGTTCTTCAATTTAAGGATCGCGTTAGCCCTTCAGCAGCACGTCGATTATTTGCAGTCAAAACGATTTTTTTATCTGCGCTGGTTACGGTGAGAAGACCCATTGTGTTAGTATTGATGCGGTTATGGGTGCTTTGCGAATATTACGACACACATTACTCAGAAATACGATGCTCGAATACGCCAATTGGTTTTGGCGGTAAAAAAACAGAAAATGAAGCACGTTATATGAAACCCTATATTATGGCGTTGTCCGAGTACACCCAATGTAAAAAAGATGATTTTTGTTACGCCCATTTAACGGGCGCGCGAAAAATATGTAAATATAAAATGATGTTAGAAAAGAAACTGGTTAAAAAACAAGTATAGCCATATATGGTCGTTGACATTATTATATAACTTTTGTAGTTTTAATGTAGTCCTTAGTCTTAACCATGTTGTTAGAACAACAACATCTATTATGGCGTAGTGCAAAATTTAAGAAAATAAATAATGTATTCATTTACTCAACCTCACTCAATTAATCAATGAATATTTGCAGTTTGCATTTATTCACGTACAAACGTGCAAAGTTTAAAAAACGATGATTGACCAGAGGATCCAATTACAATTATTATAATAAATACGGTGTGTGATGGTCATCAATGTTTAGTAGTGATAAGCGATTGGGTAAAAAAGCAAGTCGCGAACGAGGTTGAAAACTAAAGAGAACACGAAAGAGTAAAGTAATACGGTGTTGTAAGAACACGGCGTATAACGCTTCGGTGATAATACAACAGATAGTAAAAACACGTCGTTATACGCATCGGTGATAATACAAGATAGCAAAGAAATAAAATAACAAAAAGGTAATGTTAATTTTTTATTGATGATATTGATATACTACAGGCATATGATTAACGGGTTTTCTCGCACCCGAAGTTATACGGCCGCCTTGTTGGATATTTTTCTCAGACTTTAAACGAATTTGATGGTCCTTTGCACGTTGTCTTTGTCGTTTATGTTTTCCCACATAACTTTTTACTTTTTTTGCCTTTTTATTTACAAAATTTTGACCCTGCATGACAGCATTTGCGACGGCTTGTTGTAATATATCGCCGGGGTTAGTTGTCGCAGAACCCCCATATTGTCGTCGTTTATAACGACGCGTTCTACCCGCATACGGGTTTATACCAGGATTTATCCTACGGTCCCAAGATGTTCCCAGAGCAGCACGTTTTCGTGGCATTGTAATAGGGTTTTAAAGAATATGAAATGTTTTTTGTAATTACAATTGTTTTTATAACCAATATTCCCTACCGTAGTCGACAAAAATTTCCAAATGCGCTGGAATATGTTGTGAGGATTTTAGACGAAACATTTGATTTCCCCCCATCCTACCATTATAGGGAAATCGGGTATTTCTAGAATCGTTGGCAAATCTAGCCGCGGCATCCGTTGTATGATTTGCATCAATACATAATCCTTTTTTATTACATATGGTATATTTTGCAACTTTATCACCATATTTTCGATCAATTTGTTCACGAGTACGACGTCGTCCGGTGTATTTTGAAATTACACGTCCCGAGGGTATGGGTTTTTTCCAACTAAATAAACCTTTTCCAGCATTTGTAATTTGGGACGGTTTAATACGCAAATTATCTTGTTTCGCTAAATGTATCCAACATTTCGGCGTATGGGCTGTACGTTTACGACATCGTTTTTGAAGTAATGTATCGCTAACACATTGCTTGGATTTACGAATACTTTGAGGTTGTTGATATTTTCTCTTTTTTCGCATGTTTGTGAAAAAACGACCACTCATTTTTTTTCTTTTATTCGGCATATACGATAGTTACACCAATATAATCGTTGTCGTAATGGCGCTCAATATATTTTATTATATTTGTAATTTTAGTTACCACATCCGGAGGTACAGCCGATTCGTCTTGAAATCGACGCAATCTCTGACGTAACGTCTCGGGATCCACTTTATATATATGATCCAGATCTTTTGTAAAACACTCAAAAGCTTCTGAAAATATGGTAGGTGTAAAAATAATACATTTGTCATCATCGCATACCTCGTAACCTATTTTATAAAGATCCGTATCATCTTTGTGTTTTTCATTGAGTATATGTATTGAGATGTGTATTTCAAATTTACCGCTCATTCTTGATTTGAATGTTGCTTGTTCAACACGTGTGATTGAAATGGGGCAAAAGTGTTTTAAAGGCGGTGAAGATACACCGTGGGTGACATTTAATTGTAATATGGTACAAATTCGTGACAGTGATAATATTCAAATGGATTTTACAGATGGTGAGGATGACGCTGAAAAAGACGTAAAAGTACGAAATTGTTGTTGTATTCAATGGCGTCAAAGGAGGGTGGTGAGAAATGACCCCGTGATGATGGAGAATCAAATGGGGGAAATAAAAGACAAAAAACTACAGCCGGAGAAGAAAGGAAAACCATAGCATTGGTGAGGAAGTTATTTAATGAGCGAGATCGGGAAAAACGAGAACAAAATATTGAGGCAATTGCGCAAATGGTTGTCGCTAGAAATGATAAACGCACACAAATTAATAAATTAGCTGAAATGGTTAAGAAAACAAAAACGTTATATAAAGAAAAACGTAATTACAATATAGAGGATCGAGATCTTATAGAATTAGCAGCACTTGTACAATCACATCAAAATGTTAATGTTCCCAAAAAAGACTTTTCGGTCCGTCAAATACGTACTCATGAACGTTTCGGTTATACAGAATATATATTTGAGGTCACTGTAGGCGCTGACCATATGGGTAGTTTACCTGATTTTTTTGTAAATATACGTCGTGTTTTTGATTATTTAATAAATACCATGTTGTATTATGCTCAGGTGAATACGGATAAGGCAAGATTTTTTATCTCGAATGCACCACGTACACCGTTTTCTACAAGCGTATTAAATGTAACGGATTTTACAACCGAGATGTTTTTTAATATTTTCGAAAAGCACATGCAAAGTAATGCACAAGAGATTATAAATAATGGCTGGAATACTACCGTTAGTTTGTACATTTTTCCAAACAATTACGTTGCACGTACAAAAACGTCCCGGGTGAAAAAGAAAAAAACACAAAGTAAATTGTATAAGTATTTTGGTAAAAACACCACAGAATCGGGTAGCGGTAGAAAAAAAAATAACCCGGTGTTTAAACATGGTCGTGAAGTTCGTCACGGCGTTTTTCAAATCGGTAATTCAAATGTTAAAAATTCTTGTTTGGCTTTAGCGCTTTTAGTGGGTAAATCTTATCTGCACGACGATTCTGACGCATCCAAACTGAAACGCAATAACAACCTACCGCTTAGCAGTATATATACAGACGATAGCATTACAAACATGTATACAATTAGTCAACTACCCGTGGGGAAACCCGTACGTCTCGATCAATTACCCGATGTGTATGAAAGATATTTAAAACAGGACGGTATAGATTTGGTCGTTTTTTCCAAACAACAAGCCGACAGTATTGTATACGATTCCCGATTAGACGCAAACGAATGTCTACATCGTGTTACGAATGACGTTATTTTTTTATGGTTAAACGATGGTCATTACGATTTAGTCACCTCACCATACACGTTTTCACGTCTAAATTTAGGAAAGTTTTGTTTTTCATGCATGCGATATCTTCGACGTCATGAACGAAAAAATACGCACGTGTGTATCTCAAGTATAACCTGTCAACGTTGCTATAGTAATACGCGTAAATGTGAATCAGTACCAGGTTTTACACAACAATGTACGGAGTGTGATGTGATTTTTTACAATCCCACTTGTTTTACCAAACATTTGACGCAAAGAGTGTTTAAAACCTATGACAAGGGGTCGTTGATAACCGAGACGACCTGTCAACGCTTTTTTTTCTGTGTGACGTGTTATAAAATAGTAACGCGTAAATCGATGACGACGGGTAAAAAGTATACGAAGCACAAATGTGACGAGTTGTTTTGTATACATTGTAATAAAATAAAAAAGAAAAATCATCATTGTTACATTAAACCGGTTAAAGATCCTAAAAACGAAATACGTCCCACTTTATATTTTTATGATTTTGAAACACGTGTAGAGGAAGACGATATATACATGATACCTTTCTATTGTGTTGTACAAAAAGTATGCGATGTTTGTGATGAAAAACCGTTTGTCAAAAATTACGAACACTTTTTACCCCACCCCACCGAACCGTTTACGGATATTTCTGTTGAACCTGTGCTATGTTGCGGTTATAGACAATACGTTTTTGAAAAAAACAACGACGACATCGTTCCGGATTTAGTTGATTTTATGATGCTACAACCCAAAAACAGCGTATGGGTTGCACATAACGGCGGTCGATTCGATAGTATTTTTCTAATGCGTGAATTATTAGTTCATCGTAAACTTGTACCGAACGTTGTCATGAACGGTAGTAAGGTTATGTCTTTAGAATTGGAAGAACGAAATTTAAAAGTAATCGACAGTTATCTATTTCTGGCAATGAGGTTGGCCAAATTTCCCGAGGCTTTAGGAATTGAAAATGTCGCAAAGGGTTTTCACCCCTATTTGTTTACAGATTTAAATTACGTAGGCGAAATGGTAGGATTGGAATATTTTGACCTCCCGTTAGAGGGTAGCAAGGAACGGGAAACATTTGACCATTGGTATAAACAGCAGCAAAGCAAAACATACGTATTTCGTGAGGCCATATATTATTATTGTCGTTTGGATGTGGATATTTTAAGACAGGGTTGTATCATATTTTCCAGACTGATTTATCGAATTACACGGGTATTACCCTTTTATGACCACACGTGTAATACTGTGGCGGGTTTGGCTCTAAAAATATATCGCAAAAATTTCTTAAAAGAAGATCAAATCGGGCAAGTTCCAACGTGTGGGTACGGGGGTGTGAATATAAATCAAAGTGCAATTGCATTATGTTGGTTGAAAGATCTTGAAATTATGTTAGAGGAAAATAATCTACGTTTGGCTAGTAAACTTAGTGTGTGTGGGGAGCAACGTATAATGGGCCGTTATGTCGACGGCTATTGTGAAGAGACAAAAACGATTTATCAATTTCACGGGTGTTTTTACCATGGATGCGAGCGCTGTTACGATGGCGCATGTTACAATCCGGTTTTATTTACGAAATTTTTCACACTTTTGGTTAGTACACAACGCTTAACAAACATGTTTCGACAAGCAGGGTACACCGTTGTTGAAAAATGGGAATGTGATTATCGCAACGAAGTAGACATGACAGCGAATCGGTTAAAAGAATTACGTTTAACATCCTTTTTTGAATTTATACAATTGGAGCCTCGCGATGCGTTGTTTGGCGGGCGTACATCTCCCGCCACACTATATTATGATATGAAAGATACGGGTCTTCCCGCAATGTATTTTGACGTATGCTCTCTTTATCCATATGTGCAGAAAAAATTTCAATATCCAACGGGACATCCTGTCATTCTTAAGGGTCGTGAGTGTGAAAATATTGACGTCAATCAAGTATTTGGTTTAATTAAGTGTAAAATTTTACCACCCACGCATTTACTATTTCCCGTTTTACCCTATCGTTCAACGAAATTGACGTTTCCTTTGTGTCGCACATGTGTGCAACGTCAGCAAAATGAAACATGTCGTCATAATGACGAGCAACGTGCGTTGTACGGTACATGGACCAGTGTTGAAATTCAGAAAGCTCTACAGCTAGATTATCGTATTCTAATTATTTATGAAATTTATCATTATCAGAAACGTGAGAAAATCTTTGATCAATATGTAAACACGTTTATAAAGCTTAAGCAAGAAAGTAGCGGTATACCCAAAAAATGTTTTTAGATCAAAACGGTGAGGTAGTAAAGGAAAAATTACAAAAATATATTGACGATTACATGAAGCACGAAGGTGTTGTCTTGGATGCGTGCAACATGTCTTATAATGCGGGTCAGAGAACGGTCATGAAAGCCTTATTAAATTCTTTGTGGGGTAAATTGGCGCAAAACGAAGATGTCACGGTTGTATCGTTTTTAGATTGCATGCAAGAATTGTTAGAATTAGTAAACGATCGTTCAGTGGAAGTAACCTCTTTAGATTTCATAAGCAACGACGTTGCGAGAACGACACATCGAAAAACAGCAAGTCTAACCCCGTTACCCAATCGTAATGTGATTATTGCATCATTTGTTACGGCGTACGCACGTTTGGAATTATTACAGTATTTACTGAAATTAGGTGAAAATGTTTTGTACTATGATACCGATTCGGTGATTTTCATAGAGGATCGTGAAAAGGGTAAATTTCTTGAAACCGGTGAATATTTAGGTCAAATGACCGACGAATTAGTTGAAAAAAAAACAACTGCAAAATGGATTGGACAATTTTGTTCGGCAGGACCGAAATCGTATTCCTACCGCACAAATTTATATACGCGTACCAACGACGACGGTACCGAAACTAATCAACAAGACGAAATTGTACACGTGAAAGGTTTTTCGTTAAAGGGTCCCGCTAAAAAACTATTAACATTTGATACGATTCGCAGCTGTGTCGAAGATCCTAGCAAAGAAATTGAAATTACGTATCGGGAATTTATACGCGAAAATACACAAAGTATTTCGGTACAGGAAAGCACGAAAACATTTAAATTTACTTTCGATAAGCGAATTGTGCATGAAAATTTTACAACCACACCTTTTGGCTATCGGTAATTGATTTCTTATATACTTTTTTAGAAAAAAAATGAACAATGTTTACACGATGTCACATTACCCCTTTACCATCCGTTTGTGATGACAGTATGCGGACCTACACAATCGGGTAAAACACACCTACTGGTTGACATAATAAAAAACATTGACCAACTGATCATACCAACACCAGACAAACTACTGTACTTATACACGGCCGAACAAACAGTATACGGGGAAATTATGGATTATGTGGCAGCAAATCATGAACACAGTGCACTTAAGCGTTGTGAATTCTACGACTGTGCACGCTTGGGTATACCCACGGTAGAGCATATAAAGCCGTTGTTGGGTGAACGCACCCTACCTGTTCTCGACGATTTAATGGTTTTCGCTATGTCAACTAAAGAAGGAGTTGAAAACTTAAATAATTTAGCAACACGTGATAGCCATCATTTAGATCTCTCTGTATTTTTTGTGTGTCAAACTTTAAATTACGGTAATGGAAAAATACGAAGTATGCGTACAAATAGTATGTATCATCTTCTTTTTAATAATCACACGGATACTCGAGATATCGAATTAATAGCGCGAAATAAGGGTATCCGTCTGTCAACAATACGAAAAATATTGTCCGACGTGGCTAAAAAACAATACGGGTATGTGTTGTTTGACGGTTGCCCTCGTTCGCCAGCCAATGCACGTGTTCGAACGGGTATATTACCCGATGAATGTACAATAATCTATAACACAGATAAACAATTTGTGTAAAAATATATATTAATAAAAGATTTACATGTATTTTTGAAATGTCTCTAAATATGTTTTACAAATTTGACCGCCCCCCTTGTTACATTTACGTTTATAGATATTAATCATGCTAGGGTATTTAGAATACACTAATTTTTTTAATTTATTCTCATTTTCTAAAAGTTCCTCATGGTCCACGGAAAATTCGTCAATAATATTCTCGTTGTTATAGTGACTGTGCAGAAATAATAGACACCACGCACCACAGGTCTTGCTAATATAGGATTGACGTGTTAATTGCATATATACGGAAAAGTTACAACGTAGACTACGAAAATAATCCAGCCAATATTTACGACCAAAAAAACGCGGTGTCTTACCAAAACTATCAAAAAATATAATATTTTGATATTCTTTTACAACACAAACCCAATGTGTGCCGGGTTTATCATCCTCATCGGTATTCCATACCCAGCAACATTGTACTTTGACACCTTTGGGGTATACATTGGCGGGATAACAACCCAAGTAATAGGGTTTAACAGACGTGTTTGCAACAGCCAATTTATCAATGTCATCGGTGTTTAAAAATTTACTTAGAAAACAGACGGTTGACGTCATTAAGCCGAAAGATAACTTCTGTATCTTCTCCCTTTACTTTTACTTTTACCCTTACTCGTTTGCGGCGTAGGAATAAGTGTGGATGGAGACGCTGAAGCTGATGGTTTGCTTACACTTAATAGCTGCTTGTATTCTTCTTTCATTTTTTTATTTCGAACATATGAAACGGGCATGCCCGTTCTTTTCAACAATATCAATACTCTACGTCGGTTGTTAGGTGTTAAATTGGGCTGCGTTTGAGTATAGTTTCGTGTTAAATCTTCCATCATATCCTCATAGGATATATTTAGTTCAGTGTCGCCCATTTTAATACCATTTGCGATTGGTTTAACATCGTGTTTTTGTAAATGTTGCTCGATTTTATGCGCTGAAGCAGCCACCGTGCCCGCTTTATGACCGGCACCACTTACACCCGCTGTGACTGGAACAGGTGCATTTGCACCATCATCATCATCATTTACGGGTTGATCTAGACCAACCGATTTTCGATAACTGTCTGTTTTTCGTAGAAAATTAATAATATCGTTGCCCGCTGTGGAAGAATTATTTTTAACAGATTTTTTTACTTCCTGACGACTTTCAATAAGACCCGCCTCTTCACTACTGCGTTTCGCGGTGTTTAATAATTCATCTCGTGCATTATTTTTGGTAAGCATGTCCATCAGACTATTCAATTTATTTGCGTCTATCAACGCTAACCGCTTTACTTCGTCCCCCATTTTTATGTGAATGATTTTGTTTGATCGCTTCCAGTTGTCTGACGGCTTTCCGAATATAACTGTGAATGCGCATATCTTCCACAAGCGTAAATTTTATATCTTTCTTTGGACAATCTTTACTGGTAATATGTTCTAAAACACCGCGGTCACCATGATCTATTTTTATATCAAGTTTGTCGCGCACAATTAATTCACACACATGTAGTAGATGACGTATAATAGTTGGTGAAATTTGTTGACTTTTTTGATCAAAATCTAATTTCAAAAAATTTGAAACGCATGGAATAAGACGGTTCTCTTTCTTTTTTTTTACAACTTGTTCTTGTAATTGCACTAAATGTCGTAAAAAACCTTGGATTACTTGCTCGTCTAATTGTCCGTCATCGTCGTCGTCACTACCACAAATTTGAATATCCTGATTGCCCTCAACATCACCAGCATGAATATTTTCACTTAATTCAACATTTTCAGATTGACTAGCTTCAGGTTGATCAACATTTTCAACATTTTCCATCTCATCATCATCATCATCGGTATCAGAATAACCCGTTAAGTTTAAATTTTCTTCACTGGTAATTTCAGTTAAGTTTAGATTTTCTTCATTGGTAATTTCAGCCATATTTTGAAATTGGTGCGTGTATATGAACCGTTTGAATACTCACACCACCTTTATCGCTGATAACTACAGTGTTCGGTGGTCGTGGTTGCCGTACAAAAGATTCGTATTTTTTAGGAGGACCAGTTTTTAAACTATCCTTCGCAGTCACGTGTCGCGGCATATTGGGATGCGTAAAACAATTTACATTTAATTTTATAACTAATCAATACCCATGTTTTCAGCCCATTTTTGAGGATCCATAACGCCAAAACCGCCTTTTTGTTTTTTCCCTCTCCTTATTTTTTTATTCCTTGCAAAAAAATCTTTTATTTTACCACCTTTTTGCGGACCATAAAACTCCCCCTTTTTCGGACGGGTAGCATTTGTTACCTTTTTTAAACTTGCAAAAAAATCTCCAGCACCTTTTTGCTTTCTTCTTTTACGCTTCCTTTTGCGACAACAACCGCGTTGTTTAGCCATACTTAAAAAACTAGTTCAAATCGATATGTTAACAATGTTTTATACCAATTTATACTTCATACTTCATACGTGCTTGGGTACCAAAACCAACACTCATTTGATTTCTAAATTCACCGATACAAATAAGTTGTTGTGCCGCAGTGGTATCTTGAGCAAAATCAATTTTTATACTAACATTTCCACTTGTTGAATTAGGCAAAACTTGGGAATAACCATCACGATTCGCTGATAAATCTGTAACAATCATACCGTAATCGGACACATACTCCTCGTAGGTACACGGCATTTCACTAAATCGCCGATCCAATGATTGACGTAAACTAATGTAAGCCTCGGCCGAATTAGTAATTATTGGTGGTATTTCAGCTTCATTGATGCTAACGGAAAAACGGGTAATATTAGGAAACTGTGCTTTGTAGGGTGCTAATATATAGGAGCCGTTGTAACGCGTTTGCGATATAATCTTGGTTATAAGACGTGTGGGTCTTGCACCATTGAAAAGATCTTTATGTTGAATATGTCGGCTACCTATGGGTACGGGTATTGCAATATAACGATGTGTGGTTTTATAATACCGACATTCTTCACCTTTTTGAATCATCAGTTGATTAATTGCTGACGATAATTGTGCGTTGGGTTTTAGAATTGGTATGGTTAATTTTAAACTACCCATTCTCAATTCTACCAAAGCACATTGTGCAGCCGTACCATACAAGACTTTTGATTTCTCCAATCTTGTTAAGACCACTTTGAAATCAAATGATGTGGGCACATACCGTCTAACTCGACCCAACACATCAATTTTATCGATACAATTATGAACAACAGCTTCATTGATTAGCAAATAGCGCTCTCTCGCACCGAGATTTGTATTACCCGTGGCATCTGTATCATGATGTAAATTTGTAATAACATCTGCATGGCTTGCTGTATCGCGAATCATTAAAGTAATACTTTTATCATCTATATACTCTGAAGGAACGATTGTGAGAAAATCATGAGTAAACTCAAGTTCATTTTCCTTACTTGATTGTGGTGTGATTAATTGATTATTTAAATATACAGCTTTGGTTTTCCAACCATAGCGTAACGGTGCCTGATTAACAGCTATATTTCGATCAGCGGCAGGTGCCGCATGTGGTGCTGCCACATTCGTAATACGTAATTTTGCAGATAATTTTGCATCGGTCATATCGATTACACCGTAATCTTGTCGATTATGCATAAATGTATAGATTTCAGCATTTTCAGTAGGAGGGTTAGGCAGTAATTCAAGAGTCCGTTGTTCAACAAATGTGTCATTATGGGGAAAATTATCAAATAATGTCATCGGCCCCACAAATCCACTATCATGTTCTTCAATGGGTTCCGCCTCTTGCATTCTTGCACGTTTTGCCATCACGATGTTCAATGAACTAATGAAATTATTTTAAAAAACGACTTCCTTTTTAAGAAAACACACACACAGATTTTAAATAAATTTTTATTTTTAAAAAGAAAATATACATATTAATAATAATCGTCATAATATCTTGGTCTACGACGTCTTCGCGGTGGCGGACGGTCTTGCATCCATGAAGGTTCTGGTCTATGACCCCCTTGATTATTCACACTTCGTGTAGGTCTCTGTGCTGGTTTTTTACCAAAAATACTACCCACAACACTCGTACCCGTATTTAATAACATGGGTAATGCCATCCCTAATGCAATTCCTGCAGCAGGACCAAAACCACCTATTTGCTTCCTTCTTTTACCCCTTCTTTTCTTATTTGTTATTTTTCTTTTACTTTTATTGGCCATAGATTAAATTTAAAATTTCAGGTGATATGGCAGCTGCTTGACCTCGTATTTGGGGTTGTTTGGGAGTTCTCGGTTGTATTTTACCCACCCTCGGTATCTTGTGGTTCGTTGCGTAATTTGGATTTAGCTGTGTTGGCGGGCAAATTTTACCCGCAGCACGTTCTTCAACAGTTGATGCTTTACCTTTCAAGACAAGCAATTTTGTCCCTTTATATGGTGTACCACCACCTTTTAACAGTTTTACATAGTCTGCTTGCTCCATGGTGAATGACTTCTTTTCTTTATATTTCATTATATATATTTAAAATAATGGTCAATTTTGAGCGGTTTAAAACACCACTAGCCAATGCAAAAGAATCCGATTGATATCCACTTGTTCGTTCAAAAATAAATTTCACATTCTCATCTAATTCGGTAACATTTCGTACAGTCAATAAACAATTAGGAAGCAGTGTTTTTACCGTCGAATTTGACGGCGGAATTATTATACGGTTATTAGACATTTGTTCAAATCGTTCAAATAATATGTGTCGTTTTTGGGTATAATAATGTCGGGTATTTTTTCCACGCCATGTAGCATAATCTTTACCTCCCCAGAAAATACCACCACCTGCGCGGATTTCACGACCTGTTAACTTGTTAGTAACATCGTGTTTTCTTGCTACCGATAATTTATAACCCCCCAATAGACCGGTAACATGTGCCACTGTATAATACATTAATTTATGTGACCCTTTTACTTCCGAGCTGTATTCATATTTTACGGGTACAAGTTCTTTAGGACGATCGGGTTTTACTTCTAAATCGATCTTTAACATTTTTTATTCCACAACACACTCGATATTCACGGTTCCGCTGCTGAACGGTATTAGCTTATGTGTTGTATCGTAAATTGCAATTTTAAATTGATTAATTAATCTACGACCCGTATTCGCTGGTGTGTATACACACAATGCACCGCTACCCCGGTCGTTGCTGTTTAAGGGTACAATGGTTAACAAAGGAGCATATGTATCGCCAACAATCGACATTTCCAATTGTTCACAATATACAAACATTTTATCAACACCGTTTGAAATATCGGGAAGGGCTTTACCCATGAATGAACAAGCAAATTTATTTGCTCCAGAATCATTTGTTTTATTCATATAATAAAAGTCGGCATTCATGTTTGATGGAAAAACCGATCTGCTTCTTGCCAGTTGCGATTTTTTTTCGATAACATCTGGATGAACTTTTATTTCCCGCATACCCAGCATATACGCCAACGATTCAGTAAGATTCATTTGAAATTCGTCCCCATTGTCGGTATTTTGGGAAAAAACGTTGAATATTTGATGGGGTGGTTTTGTTAAGACTCTTTTTACAGTTTCGTCAGAATGCCAATATTCACGTTCGATACTGTACGTTACACCGACACGCGAATTATTTAAAATTGTAAAATTCACATCATATTCGGAGACAAATGTATTCAAAGTATCAATAAGTCTCTGTAAGGTGTAGGAACCCTCGGGTACATACATCATGTCCGTCTTAAAATTAATCTCGATACCCGAATCAGACTGTGTAGGAAAACGCATAAAAAGTTGTACACCACAGTCCTCATTTTGAACATTTTCAATCGTTAAGGGATACGAGAAATTTAAAACTCTCATATATAGCTCTTTATTTTCGGCATCTAGTAACGTGGGTAATGGCATAACAAACTCGTTGGTGTAATTTGTCTCCCCAACATCATTTCGTGCATTGCTGACAATTTGGATATTCATATTACTTGTAATTCGCTGCGATAAAATATTCCCGTGATTTCTTCACCCTGCAGGTCCTCAAGCGAATACGTAACCGGATCGGATATGTACACCTTTTTAATACGAAATTTCTCTTTCACCCAGCGTCTCAAACTAGATTTTTCAAAAACATTATTTTTTATTCGTGCGATACGTACATGTTGACCTTGCTTTAATAGACGTACAGGTTTTGGATTATCACTCAATATCGTTTTTAATCTTCGATATGTATCCGGTTGTTTACCCCGTTTATATACATCAAAGGGTGTTAAATTATATATCCCCCTGTGCGGGGCTTCATTATACCGCTCAACGACCGATTTTAAATTCTCGATATATCGATAACCTTTATCTATTCCTGTCATTGAACGCATAATACTTTGTTTAAGGGTTTCGATAAATCGCTCAGCATGTACGGCTTTTGTTTCCCGATTGTAAGTGTGAAAAAGTGTAAAACCATATTTTTTACACAAATCCCTTCTTATCAATGCAAATTCTGTTCCCTCATCACTTTGAATTTTTAACGGAATCTCTTTTTCTTTTATCAGGATATCTTCAAATTTACGTGCTACATTTCTAGCCGTTTTCGTTTTTAATGGTCGTACAAAGGCATAACGAGAATAAATGTCGACACACACAAGCAGGTAGCGATATTGATTATTAAATCTTGCTATATTATTCAAATCTGCTAAATCAATACTCCATTGTGCATTACGACTATATACATGAATGGGTAAACGTTTATATTTTGTTAATTTTTTACTATGTAACGCATATGCTTCTTTTTGTTTATTATTTAATCTCTCGTGTTTTAACAAACGAGATGTTTTTTTAATCAGTTCAGCATTCTTATCGGTCTTGGACGTCTTTCCCATAATTTGTTTTACTAAAAAAAATTAATACAACATATTTTTATCAACCATTTTACTATACATTGTCTCTATTTTAGATATATTATCATCTTTTTTGATCATGTCAAGATAGTTGTACACATATTCCTCATTCATTTCTTTCGCATATAATAATACAGCATCTTTACAAGATATTTTTTCACGATGCATCACAGCTATGATAACTGCTAGAACGTTACGTTGCTAAAAGGGAAAATTAATGAAAAATAGTTGCAAAACTATCGATAGACAAACCAGACGATTCATACAACATTCTTAATTTAGATACAGTGTGTAATATGTTTTGCTTCAGATCGTCTTCCCTAAGTATCTCAAATTCACCTGTTGAATTGTAAAAATCTAGCGCTTTTTCATACGTAATATTTTCTGTTAAAATTTTCATCAACAACCCCTTTATTACATGAGTTAAACGCATTTGAAAATTTTTCGATATCGTTTTAAGGCATCGTACCAAGTATTAAATGCTATTACCTCTTCGTCAACAGGTTCCACGGTACGTCTCTTTTTCACAGGTTGTTTGCCCAAACCCGTATTTCTCGGGGTTTCTTTTCTTTTAGCGGCAGTAGTCTTTGCCGGTGCGGGAGGAGTTGGGGGTAATGCAGACTGGTCATCAACATCTTGCTCATGCTCGACAGCGGTCAGGAAGTCGTTGATTTTTCGACCAACATGAATCCAGCTTTCATTTTTTGAAAAGAAACATTTCGCCCACTGTTCTTCCCATTCTATTTCTGCTTCCTCATCCTCTTCGGGTTGTGTCATCGAGACACCATCATCTTCCAAACCGTCAGGAACATCGGCTACTAAAACATCTGGGGTTTTACTCGCTTGTAGACGTACGAGTACCAAACCCCGGTATTCGCTATCTTTCAGGACAATACGGACTGAATTTTTTTGCCAATCTTCGTATTCATCGATGAAGACGTAGTTGGCACCACCTTTCTTGGAGGTCTTCAGGGCTTCATAAACTTTACGCAGCTGGGCGACGGTCAAAACAAATTTCATTTTATATAAATTCTTATCACCAGCCTGCGTCGATACGGTAGAGGCGATACAACATTTTTCATTATATCGCTGGTACCACAACATTTTTTTTGTTTTATTTTGATACGCACCTAATTCTGTGACGTGCGTAGCATTTTGTTTTTCATACATCTCAATAAGGGATATCTCATGTTGAGTTTGTGCCATTGTGACCACAAGTGTGTGTGTCGAATGAAGTACAAGTCTTGCACTTACCACAGCATTTTATAAGCCGTGTAACCCAATCCAATAGTCAATAACGTATTTATCAAAAATTCTTTAGCGATTACCCCTTGAATATGAAAACATATTTTATTGTAGACATCTGTTATTTTACGGAGAAAAAAACATTTATTTTCAGAAGATGAAAATGTGATATGACCATATAAGGTCACAATAACATAACCCACACATAGCAATTTAAAACACTGGGGAATATTGTTAAATGCCTCATCACACACTAAAACCAGCATTAAATCACAACATTGTATATTGTGAGCATCGCAATCACGTAACATTTTTCTAACAGGTGCCGCACAAACTTGTAAATAACGGGTCATCTGTTCATTAAATAATTCACGCACATGTTCATATTTCGATTCCATCAAACCCATCCATTTTGTTGTCGTGTAAGACATTATCAACACCAATAGCACCAACCCTGTTGTGAACACATGCAAAATGGCGACACATATATTTTTGCCTTTTTATCTCGTTTTCTTTGCTGCTTTATTTTTATATCTAATTCATAAATCATTTGACATATATAACATTGACATTTGCACACGCATTTATCATGCTCGCAAATACACGTACACTCCATACTAATGTTTATAATCTCAAATACAACATATAAATATAAATCTAATATCTACGATTTGCATACCACGGTGTAACATTTATCATATATAACGGTTTTAAATGTGCATATATAAGAATAGGTACTACACTATCATCAATAAGCATATTATCCTTTAAAAAATGTATACTAATATTGACAATGTTTTTAGCATAACAAGCCGCATGATGAACCCATTGTATATAAAATATAAATTGGACAATTCTATTCATTTGAGTGCCACCACCCAATCGAGACACTGTGCTTCCATTAAAAATAAAATGTTCCGTCATCTCATCATCTTGTGTTTGTAAGATAAGTACTGTGTTATAATATGTCTCTGTTCGTTGTGTAATATCTGCTTTTAACACGTATGAAATAGGATATAAAATATCCCTATATAGTACAGTACTTTGATAACGTAATAATCTGTAATTGTTTTTCTTTTGTTTTCAGAAAATAACTTCTTTCTTCCTTTATTCATTTTGAGCAACGTCCTCGTAAAATGTTATCTTCTGTTTTGAAAGTTTTTTCATAATTTTATAGAAGCGGTTTGAAATATAGATATCGGGAACATACGTGTCGTTTAGAATCTTTCTCAATTCTTTATCACATAAACCTTGGTCTATACCCTTTTTCACGATACCATAAAGTCTTGCTATAGCATTCAAACGATTCCGCGAATATAATACATGACAGCCATTTAAACGTTGTGTTTTCACATCTCTTTCCGGTAATAGTGAAAACTTGCTACGTATATAACCATTAACATAACCGATATAAAAGATATAGTTACCATCACCAATATGGACACAATCATAAGAATAATTAACATCTATTATTTCACGGTCACATAACAACTTCATCAGTTTACGTCGATCATTATTCACAAAATTCATAACCCCAGTCGTATTGTTTTTTATATTTTAAAGTTGTTAAATTCTGACTATAATTATATTGTGAATATGGGATCGAATTAAGAGCGTACCATATTAAATCGTCGTTAAACCATATGCCAAAATACTTTACCAAATAATAACTGAGTTGTGTTTGATGATAATCACATGTATTTTTAAAATGTAAAAATGTATAATTACATTGTACAAAAAACGTCTCAAGCATCTGTTTTAACAATGTATCATCATCATACCGGTAGTTACGGGTACCCTTTAGAACGATTGTAAATTTTTCAGAATTTAATTCTTTAATTACTACACGGCGTACATAACGTCCCCAATGATAATAATCCACTTCAAAGCGTACATAATTCTCTGTACATTCTAATAATTTTATAAAACTTAAATTTATAAAATAAAATTCACCATTACACATAAGTCGTCGACGCATATTTAAAATTACTTTATAAAAAACTGCTTATATCAAAAACACCACGACCATATAAGTACATACGTATTTCACAAAAACAGTCATTTGTTTTACAAGACTATAAGATGGTGAATTACAAACGGCGTCGCCGTTATCAAGACGGTGGAAATTTTAAGGGGTCTAAATATCAACGTGGCAAGGCCAAAACAACACGACAAGACGGTGGTTTTCTAGGCAGTTTATTTGGTGGGGGTAAAAAATCAAAGTCACAACCTATCAACGTAAACGTCAATCAAAAACAGGGTAATCAGGGTAATCAATCCCGCAATTATCGTGGTTCTCGAGGTTATCAACCCTATCGTTATCAACCCTACCACCCGCCACCGCGTTACAATTATTACCCTTCACAACCCCAAACCCGTAGACGACCGGCAAAACTTAGAGGTAGGAGATAGAAAAAAACTGAACTGAAATAAATCGAAAGGAGTATGTAAACAACATTTACACTTTCTATATTGTGTAGAAAACGATGGACAAAAAAAACAACAGCAAGGTGGTAATTGGTGGATGTTATTTTTGTAATATATATATATTTCATATTAAATAAAAACTACTTAACAAAATACAATGTTATCACATTTTTCAATGTTTTGTCTACATATATAGCATAATTTTTTCTCCCCTAATATATACTTGATCATAGGCCTTAAATGACATATTCGTTCGGGATATTGTGTCAAAGGTTCGTTTTTATTTACAAGCCAAGTATGTATGAATGTTAGAGAGTCCATCTCGTGAAAGCAAACACCGCAACCCCCGCCAACTTTCGGACAGCTGTAAACACCGTACTGGTAGACACATGTTCTGCCACATAGACATTTTATCCTGTTACGTTTTGCGACAATTTCAACAACCGATTCTTCAACATCACAACTATCGGTACCGCATACATAAAACAATTGTAATTCATTTGTGGCAGTACAGCCCCGCATATACGATGGTGTCGAATAACTAACGCGTTTTAAGACAGCCTTTGTCTGTACACCACAGGCACACGGATCACGATATAACATGTAGAAAATATACTCTTCAATCTCGTTCATAATATTTATGTACTGTTTTGCCCTTTCATTTTCTGCTTCGATTTGAAATCCACAAAAATACCCGCCCAATTCACTTCTTGTATAATTTTTATCTGCACAAACATAATAAGCGACGTCATTATACGTTTTCAAACACACATTATAATCACAACAACATTTAATTTTTTCACATATGACTTTTTCATTCCCGAGCTTCCACACTTTGCACACGTCGCAGTCACAAATCATCATGATTTCTGATTTTTTTTGATTAACCCTAGAAATATATATATGCATAACTTCGTGACTCAAATGAGTCGTTTATTTCATATGTCCAAATATGGACCTATACATTAAGTAAACCTATATATACCTTGACGTCGTATAATTTTTTATTTGAACACAATGTCGAACTGTAACCTCTGTCCTTTGGATAAAAAATGCAATTGTGGGGAAAACTGTTTAAATTGTTTAAAAGCAAAACAATTATATGATTGTGCTCAAACGATACTACACGCTCAAGAAAACCAACCAACCGAAAAATATAACTGTGGAAACAAAAAAAAAGGGAAAAACGACAAGGGAAAAGGGGCGGGTTTCGAGGTTAACGAAGTTACAACTCCTACCAAACAAATAAAGAGGAGTTTAGAGAAAACTCGCAAAGAGTTAGAAGATATTCGAGAATTGAAAAAAACCCT